GGTCTTGCAATCAACTAATTGAGATTGGCTGAAGTACTGTACAGCACCAAGGCACAAGATTTATCGCCGTTAGCAGGCGTGAGCTTCCCAGCCAGGACCCAATCCACGTCTGCATACCTGAGAAACTGCAGCCGAAACAGCAGGTTCTAATCATTTGTCAATGTCTGCGTGTCTGCATTCACCAAACAAAGGCAAAAGTACTTTCTGGCATGGAGAACGTAGAGCGCAAGGAAGCCATCCTCGGCCATGAGTTTGGACATGTGACATCTCCGTTTTCATGCAACGCAACTCGACCAAAGCACCTACTGAACAGTGGAGTCCATGTGCATTCCAAGACTCTTGTGTCCGAAGCACCAGCTGCAAAGCAGAAAGCCCATCAGACAGCGAGTCCCTGCAACTTGAGGTTGAGGCTTACTTGTTCTGCGTTAGTCTGATATCTACAAAGCCAGCAACAAGCAATCCGCATGCCGAGCCAAGGTGCGAAACCGGCTAGTCTGCACACGAACCAGAATGGCCATGGCTCGGAAGAATGTCTCTGCAGCCAGCTGCACTTAGTCGCTTCGTGTACAAATTGACTAACTGTTCCAAGCCCAACAACTGATGAGGGCCTGAAGCAAGACTAGCAAGTCTTCCCAAAGGCGGTCAAAAACACGCAACATGCCAGCAGCAATCTTGGCGAAGCCTCATGGGCATTGTCATCTCCGGCTTGGCAGCCTCACGCCATACATTTCAAATCAGAAAGCATGTGCCAAGCAAGCTTTTTAGGCAGCCAACTGTCCCTGTCGCGCTACAGCTGAAGCCAAGGCTCCAACCACATGCCATGGCCAATCGTTGCGAGGGGGCATGCGCGGAAAAGGCAGGTGTGTATGCAGCTCTTGAGATTTCGTCCTAACCATGTAAACCGAAAGCTCGGCTCGTCTTATGATTGCGACTTCATCTTCTTGAGATTGACCCCCAATTCAACCGTTTCACAGTAAGAACATGCTTCGTGACGTGACCGGCAATTGGTGCAAGCAAGAATGCCTTGATCCATTTGAATTCAAATCATCATCATCATCATCATCAGCAGCATCAGCATCAGCCCAGCCACTCTCAGGCGCTCACAAGGAGGTGCATGCATGTCCAAGCCAGCTCCCTGATTTGCATACAACGGCAAAGAAGCATACGCTGCAAGGCACTTTGGCTTCTGCCAGGAACTAAACAGAGACTAACCAGCCTGGCAACCCAGCATGGGAAGCTTAACTAGATTCAGCATTTCCAAGTGTCTCCGTGTTAACTCTAGCACCATGTGCTCGAAAGTAAAACAAAGTACACAAGTCTGTAGCTCTGCTTGTGCTAAGGACTGTTCACCACAACATGTCAATAGATGTCAAGTCGCGGTCTTCTTCAGCCGTGTATGCGCTCCCCACGCAACAGGAAAGCCTCGCATCTTCAAAGCATGAAACATGTATGTGCATAAAAGATCCGCACCAGATAACCAGAGTAACCTGCTTTCACAGCTGCCTCAAATGCAAGCAGGTTGTTTCCCCAAGACTGCCTGCAAGCTGCTATTCAGCTTGGCGCTTCGCTTGGCCATGCCGTTGTGGCCTGCATAGGACTCCCTCGAACAAGGGACAAGACACGCAAACGACCAAAGTGGTAGACAAAGTCCAAAGCCAAGCTGCTGACAACGGAACCTGTGACAATCGAGCCTGAGCCCAGCAGCTTTTGAATCTCCTTGAACTGGTCGAAACACCTCATCTATGACTTGCTCGCCACCACACAGACCACAAGACCTAACAGCCCGAGGGCTTGACGCATTGCACTTGTGATACCGTCCCTCCCGTGCCAAGTCGAGCTGGCGCCTGAAAGATAATTCAGAAGTCGAGTCATGTTGGCATGTCCGTTCTCTGGACCCGGCTCAGGGATTTTGGCGCAACTCTCGCGCGTCCTGGAAGAGTCTCAAGACTCAGGTGTGTAGTCGTCAACGCACTGCTGGGTGACCCAACTCACTGATCGTACCGCCGAAGCGGTCAAGCAGCAAAGCCGTGAACTCCAGCGCGGTGGCCTTGGTGTCGAGCTTCCAAATTGCCAGAAAGAACACGTGCGAGCGAAGCTTGGAGCTGCTATCAAGAATGCAGGCGACCAAATTCAAAATCTTGTCTGCCTGCAGGCATCCCGCGCAAGAGAACTACGGCTGCACAAGCCATGCTAAGAGCGACACGATGAAGTCCTCGTATTTGCAAGTCATTAACAACTCCTGCAAGGCTCTAGACTTTTGAGGGCTTTCAAGCCTGCAGGTTCTCCGATGTAAGAAGGGCTACTCACTCACAACGTCATTCAAAAACAGTCTGACAAGGGTGGTGGCAAGGAAAGGCTTCAAGTGTTCTCGCCCTCACCTTTCCTGCCCACTTTGTCTGAGAATCACAGAAGGGAAAGACTCTATCGCTGAACAGGTTCATTTTGCAATGCCATAAGCTCGTGTCTCCCTGATGGCTTAAGAGGCCGTCGGCAAGCGGAAAGTCGCTTGATCAGAGTATTGTGTGATTCTGATGGGATTGACTATGTACAGGTTGAAGTGATGGCCGAGGATTTGTCCCTTTATCAATTTATTGGCTTATTTGTGTTGTGAACAGGTTCATGTCTCATTCGTCTGACCACGGAACATCAGCCAAGGCGGCGGACCCTCAGCAAGGGAAGAAAAGCGGCGCATGCCTTAGCATTCTGGGCAAGGATGGGCAAGGATGGGCAAGGGGCAACGCACCGGCTCCAACTCCAACGTTTTACCATAAGAAGAGGCTCTCCGTCATATAGACCCGCAAATCCACGCATGTTTGCAACAACTCACTGGGCAAGTTGCATCAAGGTTCAGCACGCTGCCCAGATCTTGCCTCAGTTGAGGCAAGAGCAGGCTAAGAGCTCAAGCAAGGTATAAGGACAACCGACAGATTTACTTGCACCGCCGCAGAACAAGTGAGCACTTTCGGAAATTGAATCCAAGTCACTGGATTAATGATCTGCAGAAGTCGCACAGCACATCTTGGTCCTGCAAAACAAGACTTTGCTTTCCACATTCAATCTGTGCAGGAGACATAGCGGCTAAAATGCTATGCCATGACCATTCAGACCTGACGCGACGTCTTTGCAGCTTTAGCATCATCGTGCTATGCATCTTACGACATATTTTTGCTCAGCAGTCCTGTGGCAACGACAGCACCGTATCAATGGCACTGATGTTGCCATTGACCTGACGACACCTACTCACCAAATACCGGGGGAACCACCTTGTCTGCCGGTGGCCTGTTCGCTTCCATGAGAGCGGCTTGAGATGTTCAACTGTTTGCTTACAGAAGAAATGCGCAACCATCTTTCTCTGAGGCATTCACAATACGTTGAGGGATGATATATAAGCAGTGGCCAAAAAAGCCGTGCGCCCTGCCCACAGCTCTGAGAGCCTCCTCGACTGATCCTCGGACATTGACAATCAGCATGAAACGAAGAAAGCCCATGCATCTACTCTCAGCACCTCTCGAAAACTAGACGCTCGTTCCCAAAAAGGCCTTTTGGGGTTCCACAAATTTAGAGAGAGCAGGCATCAGCAGTTGCCATTTCGAATCGACTCTGATCCTAGCCTCTTTTCCAGTCGTTGGTCAACATGCTGAGTCTCCGACTAGACGACGCCTCAGGACCCCTAGCATCTGCGGATGTTGCGCAGATACAGTTTCCATATCCAGCCTGACGTGCACATTCATGCACGACTTGGCAATGCATCTGGAGTTATCACAAAAGCAGCCTGTCCTGGCCACAGGAGGTATGGGAGGAGCTGGTGGCGCCCTTGCACCTTGGTATTTTTACCAACCTTGCATGACACCATGCTGCATACAGGCTTGTCTCCCTAAGTTTGTTGGCCAAGCGTCTGTCAGGGACACTGCGAGGCCCCCCGTTGTACTGCGCGCAGCTAGTGCCAGGTGGCTGGACTGCCTGCGCGGTACTTGAAGTGTGCTTAAGGAGAAGGGACAAAAGGAGGAAGGGATCGGTTGGTTGAAGGAAGCTCTCCCGGTCAGCGCCGCGCCTGCGCGAGAAGTCCTGGGCTCGGTGGCCTGGAGCTGAAGCGATGAAGCGAGGCTCTGAAAAACAGCGCTCGAAAGAAAAAAAAAAGAAAGCATCTTCAACTTTTCAACTTTTCCCAAACTTCCCGATTGCCCGGTGGCCTGCGCTCCGGGGGCCTCCGTGGCTCTGAGAGATCCTCGCAGGAACCTGGTCACAGACCAAGATGCTCAAAAAGCCAACGATTGCGTTAGGCCTTCTCCAGATGGCTTGAGCCGTTCCAAACATTCCACAGCAGCTGCAGCAGCCGCCTTGGCTTCGGCCTCGGTCTGAAGCTTCGCGGCTTCGCAGCTTCGCAGCTTCGCTGATGTACGGAGTGCCCGGCAGCCACATCTGCTGGGCTCGGTCGTGATGAAGCCGGCGGGGCGGGTGGAGCAGGCGGAGCGGTTGGAATCTGAGGCATTCCAAGTCTTCATAGAAGCGGTCGCTCTCAAAACAGTCAACCGGGTGCCCGCTCTTCCTCCGGGTCGGCGTGAAGCTCAGGTCGGGGAGGTGCCTGCAGGCACAGGTGTGTGAGTGCCACATCATACAAGGAACTTGGTTTTATCGGGGAATGTAAACGTGAGATAGCACAGCGCAAGGAACCCCATGTCTATCCTTAGCCTTGTTGGCAACCCAAATCCTGACTCAAGCCTGTATGGTTTGGAGTTTCTTGAAGCTGACAGGCCTGAGTGGGCGACAGCCTGCCCGAGCTGCCTCAAGTGGCAACACACCCTGAGGATTTTGGAGTAAATGATGGCACATGACTGGCCAGCAGCAAACACGATCAACGAAATCGCGACATGCGTTACTCGGAACCTCCAGTCACTGGTCGTCGTGCTGCCTGTACCTAAAAACCAAGGAAAGCTATATCCGCTTCGATGCAGCGTGTTTCTGAGAAAGTTGCCCGGCTTGCATCTTTACGAAGATCCGCCTCATGATCCAGGCTGATCAGGTAACGTGAGGATGGTGAGGTCAATGCAGGCTAAGGCCGAAGCCACCCAGAGCCCTAGTTGCGATCCCTCCGCAGACACAGCCTGTCGATTGCATGGTCAATATTGGACTCATAGAGCGGCTTGGCAATTTCAACTGCAATTTGGCTAAGAGACCAAGAGCTTCTCCTCCGGGTAGCAGAGCCGAATATCCTCAGAATCTCAAGAGATTTTTGTTAGGTGATCTCATGTGCCCACATGTGCCAAAGTGTGCCCGAGGCCTGCAGGCCTTTCCAGTCCACCTCCAGACAGTCCGACACGTTGGACACGGCCTAAAAAACGATTGGCTAAAGACTTCCGTCTGCTCTGCACCTTTCATCTCCTTTACAAAAACTCCGTCCAAGCCACATTGCAAGGATGCAGTCGCAGCAAATCTTGCGAAGCGCTGAGCACGGCCTGAAAATAAAGCCCAAACGGTCGAAACATCAAGCAAAAAGCGCCCAACCTGCTCCTCTGGATAGAACTTCACAGCCTGCACAGCCACTGAAATCAGTTGGCAGGCATGAGAAGTTGCTGCGCCTGCACAGGGGTGGTGCCAATGGATGACACCCCAACCTGTGATAAGCATAAAGATCACAGCCCCATCAAGATGAAGAAACACTGATCAAGTCTTGCCAGGGCCACGCTGAGAAAGCTTTCTAAGCTCCATAAGATGACTGTTCGGTCTGCCGAGCCTTTGCAGAATACAGCATCTACATACTAAGAGCCACAGTTGGTGTCTTAGCCGAGCCGGCGACCAGAAACGAGCAGATATTCTTTAGGGTGAAAGCTGAGTGAGGTCACAGGTCCCTGCCAAAAGTTTGAGCTGCAAACTCAGCCAAATCTCTTAGCTTAGCACAGCAAGGTTTTCCATCTCATGCTAGTCATAAAAATCAGAGACGATGAGTAGTTTCCCCTTTGGCCTTATGTAGGTCCAAGTCCTGGCACAGGGTGCCCTTGAGGCTTACAGCAAACTTTGCCGAGTCAACAACCTCCAAGCTGCATAGCTCACAATGAAGAGCTTTGGGTCTCGAAGTCCTTCATCTGCTTGCCGGCTGTGAGATCCCAAATCTTGACCTGAAAACTTCGAGCATTCGAGGAAGGCATTCAAAGCGTAGCAACCCTGCACGCCTGGTTGTCCAAACCGCCAGTTGCTACCCACCTGCCGTGCGGAGAGAAGCGGATGGCGCTGACCGGAGCCGAATGGCCTAGCAACAAACCACACGCGCATCAAAACAAAAAGGTCGAGCAGCTCAGCAGCTAGGCGTACAGTCCCACGGCCTGGATAGGTTTGGATGCACGACTTACGACGCAAATCCCAGATCTTCCTGAGTTGGTGCGCGTGGTAAAGAGCATGTTCTTTATATGTGTACTTGACTCTCTGCAGGCAAGGGTCAAGTTGGTGTCATTGGAGCCCGAAGCAAAGAACTCCCCATAGGGATGGAACCTTGCAACATTCTGCTACTTGTCTGTTAGGTTTTGTGGCATTCCAGACAGCTGAGAGTCCCACTCCACGCAAGTGCAAGCTGTCCGGTGACCGGTCAAAGACCCGGCCATCTTCCTTTTGCGCACTCTTCATAATGAAATTAACGTGCAATTATCAAACACTCTGGCAAACCTGTCCTGTATTCCAGGTTCCAGCATTGCATAGAGCCACCAGCGCAGCCCACGATCAGAACTTCTTCCTGCTTGTCAAACACCAGGCACTCGACCTTATCAGCATCGTTCATAGCCAATCGCAATCACATGCGCACGTAGCTGAGAAGGAGAGGCGCAAAGCACCACTTACAACTTAACACAACCCTTCTGCGCATTCTTCGGACACCTTTCCCAGGTTTCAGATGAACCAAGGTTGTCTAGGGCTGAGGAACCTGCAGAGCTGGTATGCCCTGTCAAGCTCATCATGGCATTGGGCTTCCCCACCTCTTCAAGTTGCTTCAAACTGCTAGTGACTTCTAGTGATGCTAGTGTTCGTTTGACATGTCAAGCATGTCAAAGCTCATGTGCCTTCCAAATATTCACCCGCTTGTCATCTCCTCCTGTCGCCAGCACCTGACGCGGCAACACTCTGCAACAGAATGCAGCAGAATGCAACAGAGTGCAGCAGGCGCTGGAGGTGACCGAGCTGGCCCGCCTGACCAGACTTCTCGCCGAGTCGGGCGCATTGAACCCGGCCTCACAGAAGTGTTCTCCATATCAGCACGCTTCTGAAAAAGTCGGAGTGCGCCTGTATGTGCTACAAAATCTTGAAGTTTCCATACTCTTCTGCTCATGCTCCCATGGCATAGGCCCACCCAGTCCCAGCGAACGCAACGCTGACTGGACAAGGGGGCGTCGATCGAGTTGATGGGCTGTGACCATACAAAGAATGCTGCTGGTAGTAGGCATTTTGCGTGGCAATTTCAACTGCACGTGCTCCACTAGGCAAAGTGACTAGGAAGCCTGGTTTCACGTTTTACGGCCTCTGCAACAATCAGCTTGCTTTCTTCAAGTGCTGGCTTATGCAAAAGGCCCACCTGCGTAATGGATGTCTCTGCGAGTTAGCCATTGACCCACCTTCCTCTGCGCACCTACCCAGACGTTCTTAGAGCTAACAGCAAGTAGAGTAATACTAGAGTAATGATACCGCCCAAATGTCTGCAGCTTGAGCCTCCTACCAACCCACAAAAGTCTTTCACTGAAGCTCGGCGGCAGAGGCTAAAGAACTTGTGAAGAAACATGCAAAGGACCATTCGAGAAAAGCATGGAACCCGAGAAGCTTGAGTTGCCTTTATCCGTCGCGGCATAACATTCCACAACTCCTGGGACAATCGGCACAGCTAATTCCAACAAAAAAGATTGAAGTGAGCAACTCTTTCGACTGAACTTGTGCCTGGCAACCCAGTTATCATGGTTGCGCTTCGGATTGACGGGGTCATGGCTAAGGCCAAAGCAGCATTGCAAGCTGTCAGGAATCTCCTGTTGAAAGGGACGCGCTAGTCTTTGTCTGGAGAATTCCGCTTGCTTGCGAATGCTCACCAGAAGGCTCACTCTTTCAGAGGGAGAACCTCAGGGGGCCAAGAGCTCCAAATGCAGAAAGTCACGAACCAGTATCGACAGGCTCTGTCAAGCAACCCACGGCTTCTTTGTGCAGGCAAGGCAACTCAACTTTACACTAGCTCCCCTGGCAATTGCAGCTCAGCTTGCATTGCTACTGCACTCTCTTTGGGCCTGTCTCCCTGCAAGTGGGGCTTGCGGAGACGGGCTCCTGAGATAGCCAACAGAAGGACACTTTTCTCCATCAAGATGCTTTCCCTGATACATTCCCTGATGTCTGTGGCTGCTTGCAAACTGCGACTTCAAGCTAGCCTGTATCTTTCGAGCAGGCAGTCGATCGGAGCAGCTTGCTGAGGACGCCCTCTGCGCGTCTCCTGGCCGAAGGCGCATGAATTCTCTAGGATGACAAGCTGCCTTCAGGTGCCGAATCCTGCACAGCCTGTTGGCTCCCGACTCATTGGGCCCCAAGGACCCACTTTAGCATGTGAGCAGTTCATGACATCATGACATCATAGATGCCCAAGCTGAATGGGAAGTGGGATAGTCTGCATGGCCGGTCACGCTGGGAAATGCTCAGAGATTAGGGAAGCATGCTCACTTCGCACGCAAGCACCAGCTCATGTTCGGCATCCTCCGAGAAGTTCACCACCGGGCTTTACGCTTCGGCTTGCCGCCTCCAGATGCCCATCCTGCTGCAACACAAGCTCAGAGGCTCAAGAATTGTGGCATGACAACTCAAGATGCGCAGGTACCAACAATTTCTGCAAGCCTGTGGCCACGCGTTTGGCAGGCGTGTCACCGTCCACTTCCATGTCCACGGGGCCCTCGCGAGGAGGACAAAATTCAAGTACCCTCATCGCACATCATAGACAAGGGCTCCACAAGGAGTGATACACTGCCGCCTCTGTCTTGGGGGTCGGTGCAACGGGTGCCGGGCTTGGTGCTGCCACCGCTGGCGATGCTTTTGGCTTCGGGCTGGCCTGGAGGTTGGCACCTGGCCAGGAGTTGGTGCAAACGCACCGACAGAGAGATATCGCAGCAAACCACTGCAACACACATAGATCACCGTAGGTGGTTAAACGTGTTGGGCAGGAGCACTTGCTGGTCTGGTAGCGTGCTGCGTCATGCCACCACCTGCACGGGAGGGCTTTTCAGGGTTGAACTGTCCTCACCAACGAATATGCCCAAGCATGCGCTCCCACGGTCATGCAGACTATGGCCCTCGACAAGCACGTCTACGGCAGGCGATAACTGAGAGTACAGCAGCTGTTAACTCCAACCTGCTTGCGCAGCCACGTTACCCCACCTCAGCTCGGCCGAAAGTAAAGTCTGTTAGAGACTCAAGCAAGTAGCATGGGGCGGCATGTGCTTGATGGAATTCGAATCAGAACACTTTGGCAACAAAGGCACATGAAGACATGCATGAAGCAAGAATCGATTGTCCTCTGAAGTTGGAAAATCACAAGACAAGGATCAAATTCTGTCAGGCTAGGGTGAGGAAAATGAAGCCGCATAGAAAGTTGACCTGAAATGCTGCAATTTAAACATTAAATTTGCAGCTTGATATTTGAAGGCCTATATCCTAAGCTCCAAATCGTCAGTGACAGCATGACAATTCTTCAGGAGGTGAGAAACTCTTGATATTAGATTATTGCTGAGACAAAACGCGTGAAGGAATGATGGTTTTGAAGGATCAGCAGGGGCCAGGGCATTGCACCCTTGCAAAGCGACTTGACTGAGACGGCACGATATGAAAAGCACACGTCTTTCAACAGATTCACCGGGGAGCTGGCGAGGATAGTTCGAAGTCAAAACCATAATGAAAGATTGGGAAACGGAAGAATGCCCTCCATGGGTGGAGTTCTGTAGTTTGCACACGAGAACCCAGTGCTTTTTCAGCTATATGTCGATGACTTAAGAATCGGTTGAGGGCTGAGCCAAGCTTTCCTTGGAGCTTGGTTACAGCGCGAAGTAGGGTTTGTGTGCAGATCTTTCCCTCCTCGCGCCCCCCCCCCCCGTTCTACTTCTGCCCGTGTTTCTCGTTTCGTCGCAACTTCTTCCCTTCAGTAACGCAGGTGGCCGTGGAATGATTCTTGCTTTCCTTTGTGTTCCTTTCAAGCAGAGGAGTCTCTACTTGGCTGAGATTTCCTCCATCGCCGTTCATGTATTGCGCCCAGGCTACACGACTTCAGCACCAACACAAAATCAACGTGAGAAAGACCTGCCTCTCACTTCTATCTCGCTCGCTCTCTCTCTCTCCATCTCACTGTCTCCCCCTGTGAATGATTGTTTTGGGGCAAGATTGCTTGGGCCTTCCCGACACATCTGACATCCTGACAATTTCAGCACTGATGCGACAGACAGCAAGCTTCTCAACGCAAATCTGCCACGGAACTCGCCCAGGAGGGCTTCACTAAGTAATATTCAATACAATCCAGCGAGAATTAAGTGAACCAGCAACCTGCATTACCGCTGGGTCAAGGTGTCCTGAAGTAGCCATTCAGGCCACCTTAACATGCCCAAAACATTTTGATGATCTTCTGCTGTCCCCACCCACTCGCACTGCACATTTCTAGTGGGGTCTGCAAGCCAAAAGTGAAAAACGCAGGTCCAACGATGCTCACAACCCCACCGGAAAAAAAGGTAGGCCAGATTGGGGCTGAATTGGGTAGGTCCTGCCCTCGTTGCTTCTTTTGCCGGGTCTGCTGAAGTACTCATCTTCCTCTGGAGCTCTCTGTAAGGTCCGCGAGTCCCAAGTGGGACAGTTCCGGGGGCACTGCAACCCTTAATTTGCGTGGGGTCTGCATTGCTCATTGCCAGGCCTGCCAAAGGTTTAATCTCCCTCCCGAGCTTTCGGTGGATTTCTGCGCCCCAGATGAGAAAAGCACGCCCAATCATAATCAAGATGCCCGCTTCGGCCCCAGCAAGCCCGATATGGCTTAAATTGGGTGGATTCTGCGTCCTTTTGCTTCTTTTGCTGGGTACCCAAACTTAGGCTTTGCACATGTTTTTCTGAATTAAATCCTGCGGGCTGACCTCTCATTTAACCTCTCTCCTGGATAGAACCCAAGGCCTAACCCCGTACGTAAAACGCTTAAAGATCATGAAAATTTGTGAAAATTCTGAAGAATGCTTAGAATTCAGGAAAAGACATGAAAAACTTGTGAAAATAATGAAAGATGGAAATTAATGAAAATCATGAAAAATGGTGGAAGATCATGAAAGATGATTAAAAATGATGAAAATGATGAAAATGATGAAAGATGATGAAAACGATGAAAGATGATGAAAACTCATGAAAAAAGAAAAAAATGATGAGGATTGATGAAGAATCACGGAAAATCAAGGAAGATGAAAATTTTCCAAATCATGGAAACGGCTGAAGAATGATGGACAATTATGCAACATGATGTAAATAAGGAAGAGTTGTGAAAAACATCAAAAATTTCCAAAATGAAGAGCAATGATGAAATCATGGAAAATGATGAAACGGTCTAAAATGACGAACAATGGTCAAGCATGGACGGCCCTGGAAAAAAGGCGGGGGGTGGTGGGGGCGCAGCCCCCGCCCATTTGCAAACAAAATGATCTGTGCAGCAATCCATAATGGTGATGACACGATGCTTCTTGGACACGGCAGGCGTGGATGGAGTTAAAAAAAGGGTGGGGGCGGGTGGCCACCCCTCCCATGTTCAAACACTATGATCAACAGAAACGTTCTTCATTGCAAACATGGTGATGACATGATCCTTCTTTGTTACAGGAGACGTGGATAGCCTTAAAAAAGGCATGAGGGTTGGGTGGGGCGCCCCCCCCCACCTTGCAAACAACAAGGATAAAGGTGATGAAAGATGATGGAAACTACTGAAATATTATGAAAACCCATGAAGAGCATGGAAAAGTCTGAGGAAGGATGGAGAATTATCAAAGAAATATGAAATTGATGAACAGTCATGAAACATATTGAAAATGACGAAAGATATGGCAACGGCTGAAAGAGGATGGAAAATATGAAAATGATGAAGATTTGTGACACATGAAAAGCGGCAAGTACTAAGCTGAAAGAAACAAGCAAGAAGCAACAAAAAGCAATCCCCGATAGCCGCCATGGGGAAGCTGAGCGCAGTCAACGAGAACCAGGAAGGTAAAACAGAGAGCAGTGAGCACTCAGGAGATCGCAGGCAGCAAGAGACAGGAAGCAAAAAGCTGACAGCCAAAAGTAAGAAGCCAGAAGAATAAGAAAGAGAAAGCAAAGAGCAGCAAGGAGCAACATGACGAAAGCAACAAGCAGAAAACAAAAGCAGAAGGCAAAAAGCCAGATGCGAAAAGCAGAAAGCAAAAAGCAGAAAGCAAGAAGCAACAAGCAGAAACGCAGGAAACAGGTAAAACTTCAAAATTAATTCCTCAAAAAACATGCCTCCCGTTATTTGGCAGAATATAGTGGCCAGGATTGCCGAACTTTCCATTTTTCCTAACACTTGAAAACCATGGAGACAATCCAAGGACCTGACCTTCCGAGCACTTCAAAACTATCAGCTTCTTTTTCAAACCTCTAACTGGGATTAAACCAAAGCCCAAACGTCGTAAGCCGCCAAGCAACAGGAGCTGATTAAACTAAATCCTGGGAGTAAGCCCCCAGGTTTTCATCCGCCCAGAAGCAAGCTCGTGGACGGGCCTGCGAGCCCCAAGTAGGAGACGCAAACCCAATGATGCTCGCGATGCCCGCTACAGTACCCAGCCAAGCGCTGCAAATACGTTGCCCCTCCCTTGCCGCGGCCTGCCCCGGGCAACTGCACGGCTGCAAGGGATGCGAACCGCAGAGCTGCGTTTCCAGTTTCCCGTTTAGGACGTTGCTTCCTGCTCTCTCCATACTTGGCCAATCGAAGAATGAGGATTTCAGGTCTCTTATCCAAGCTTCAGGGACCGCTACAAAGTTTTGTGGATGTTCGAAGTTCCTTTCGTGTCTAAACAGCTTTTCTGATGTTTCCTGTCTGTGAATTGATGTCACCCTCATGAAGTTTGCAGCTGATCCGATCTGTTGTGTCTTTGCCGAATATGCTATGTCAGGATCATATTTTACCATCGTGTTTCGGTCACTTTTCGAAGTTTCTCGTGTTTGGGGGGGGATAGTTGCATCAGGTTGGGTTCGTTCTAGCACCGTTCGAAGTTGAGGGCTGCGAGCTCTCTGAGTTGCGCTTCATACGCTGGCCTGGAATGACAGGTGTTGACTGCAAGCTTTGCTGTTGGGCTTGAAGGGTGAGAGGGTGAGGGGGGAATCACGTTCGTTGTGGAAGTTTCCCTAAATTACTATTCCCAAAATGGTGGAAATTTATATAGGGCCCCGTATTATAATAGGAACCCAAATATAGGACCCCGTTTTGACAGTAACTTAGGACAATTCCCATGTGCCACGTTAACGCTTATAGATGCTTCGAAAGCCCACAATCACCACGTGAATACTAGTAACCTTGGCGTTGCATCTGATGTTCAATGGGTTCTCCAGAAGAAGCGTAGCATGCACTTGCATACAGAACTTTTAGCAATGCCTAAGTTACTTCTTAAGGACACATAATTCCTTACACTTTTGCTCACAACAAAGTGAAGCATTGGACAAGCCATAACGACCACGCACGAAAACTCTCACATCAATTTTGGCAGGTACAAAACAGGGCCCACTTCCAATGTGCAGCATCCACGAAGTAAACTCATCAAATGTAAAGCAAACCTCTTACAAACTTCCACATGTGCAAATTTACTGCGCCTGATATGTTTTCGTGCAAACATGGCAAGGGAACATCCCCACACCTAGCCTACCAATTCCACTATCAACGCGCACTAGAATCACTATAGAAAAAGTCCCGGCAAGGCGTCCACGACACACCCAAGTCCTATTGAAACAATGTCATGCCAGCTTTGGGTTTAGGTGCCAGAAAGCGTGGCAGGCATGCGTCTAAAGGTAATCCGCGCCATTAGTGCAACACAGGATGATGCAGCAAACTTCGGCAATCCCGACGTGGACATGTGTCTCCACATGTACGCATCCTGATCTGGCCAAAGTCGGCTGAAAACACATGAAAACAAGGTAGCTTCCAGCTATCCAACAACAAACACGATTTTCACGCCAACTTGAAGCGTAAGTGACAGAGAATGTGGCGAGCGTGTGTCAAAAACGAAAATCAATATCACTTCAACGTGCCCGAAACACCGTGATATAATATAACCCATGGACCATGTAGTTCCTCTGTTACGCTTTTTGTTGCTGATGCAGTTTGTAGCTTCTCCTTTTGCTGATTGGTTCAGGCTTTG